AATATGGGCAGCAGACATTTCATAATTTACATCTTAGTCCAATATATACGGACCGATAACAGTCCGAATATATTTTCAAAGTCACAACAATATAGGCAACAGACATTTTAGAATTTACATCTGAGTCCAGTATATATGGACCAATATCGATTTGAATATATTTTCAACATGACAGCAAGATGGGCATCATACATTTCAGAATTTACATCTGAGTCCGATATATACAGACCGATACCGGTTTGAATATATTTTACAGAAACCTACACATTGGCAATAGAATTTTTAAAAGTTTCCCTTAAATCCTCTATATTCATATCGAAATCGATCTAAATATACATTTTTGGGTCACCATTCAAGCACCCAATTTTTCATCCTTACAAATAAGGACATACTTATTCAGACCAAAGTCAGTCTGAATATATTTTCTGTAACCACTTTCCCTAACATTTAGACTATTTTCGGTCTGTAATTAGGAAATTATTTTATTATATTCTGAATTTTTAGACCATTTACGATCTATAAATTTCAATTTTATAATCACAACTTAGATATTTTTACCAAAATATACAATCCGATTTTGGTCTGAATAGTTTAATATACGAACCGCTTTTTTTTTGTTTGTATATTTTATTATTTCATACCATGTTTTTTCAGTTCAACTACACAGACCAAGATTGGTTCGTATATAGTTGTTTGGACCGATTTTTAGGTTATTCGGACCGAATTTTTGGTCTGAATATGGATTCCCTACAATAGTGTCTACCCTTTTTGCATATTTGAGTGGTGGTGTGTATTTGCAAGATTGGCCGAATGACTTTTCTTCTATTTTGGTTATCAACCATTGAACAGCATGTTATCACTTAATCTTTTTGTCTTAATTTGTACATCTTTAATTTTTTAGATCATCAAAGTTAGTGGCTAACTATTGTAGTGATTCTAACCCAACATGAACCCTAAAATCAAGATTTTTTACTTAGTGAGTATTAACTTGGCTAAAATCTTTTTGGAATACATCTATAATGTTTAGCTTAATTACTGAATAGGCCAAAGCCCCTATTTGCACCCTCCATTTATATCATTTCTGCAGTCAACACCTTTCAAAATTTTTCCTCCCTATTCACACCTCAATTTTTCAAAACCCGTGAAAAACCCAATATTTTAGCGGGCCATAACAGAAATGTTAATAATCGTTAAAAATTGTAATATGTGGCATCAAACAGTAACAACAACATTATGTCACCTTATTAATCCAATGTGGACTTTTTTTTTATGGTGTGGCATAATTAAATTATAATTAATTTTAATTTCTTCATTTTCTTCTTTCCCGACATCATCTTTACCATCTTCCTCTTCATCCTCTTGGGTTCCTCATGGAACCAGGAACCCAAGACGTTATGTCACATTTATTAATCCAATGTGCACTCTTTTTTTTTATAATGTGTTATAATTAAATCATAATTAATTTTAATTTCTTCATTTTCTTCTTTCCCGGCATCATCTTCACCATCCTCCTCCTCATCCTCCTGGGTTCCTCACGGAACCCAGGTTCTGAGTTCCTCACGGAACCCAGGTTCTGAGTTCCTCATGGAACCTAGTTTCACATGAATGCCTACCAAGCTAAGATCTTCGTCCACACAATTATAAGTAAATGAATACTACACAAAAACATGATATGCATCTTCCACCCCTTTCCCACAAAAAATGAAAAATCCGTTATTGCCATTCATGTGAATCCCACTTGAACTCAAATTGGCAACCTGTTCAAAAACAATCTCCAAGCAAAAAAACTCACATTTCAAACAAAAAAATCATTCCAAATTGCTTTGCATAAAATAAGAAACTAAGATAAATACATTCAAAATAAAAAAATGAAAAAAAAAATGGTCGAAACCTAGAATCTGGGTTCCCCGCGCAGGAACCCATTGAGAAGAGGAGAATAGGATGGTGAAGATGATTCCAAGGATGAGGGGGAAAGAAAAAGATGAAGAAATGCCACATCATCAAAAAAAAAAAAAGTACACATTGGTAATAAGGTGACATAACGTTCATGTTACTGGTTGGTGCCATGTATTACAATTTTTTGTTGGTCTCACTGTACACGTGACATCCACTTGTGTAAAAAATTATGTCATGTCATCAAAAAGGAGTCCACATTGGATTACTAATGCCATATAGTGCCACGTCAATTTCTGGGTGCCACGTAGTGCATTTTTTAACGGTATCGCGATAGCCTGTTAAAATATTGGGTTTTTCACGGGTCTTGAAAAATTGAGGGTGTAAATAGGTAGAAAAAATTTTGGAAGGTGTTGACCATGGAAATGATATTAATGGAGGGTGCAAATAGGGGCTTTGGCCTTACTGAATATCTAAGCAAGTTTCATTCTAGGATAGGGCTAAATCTAGGCATGGCTTAGTTAGTGGGGACGTTTCTACTTGATTATAATCTTAGGCATATCTAGATGCATATATGTCTTGTTGGTCTTAAGAATCTATCAGATGCACTTCTCTACTTTTTTTTTTTTTTTTTTTTTTTTGGTATGTAAAGACTAAAAATTGAATTTTAATTTGAGTTAAAGCACAAATAATTCTACTATAAGCCTAAATGGTTGATGGTACCCGAGAAGATGTTTTGAATATAGTTTTTAAGATAATCTATAGAACTCAATCAGATATTAGATCCAAGATGCTAGAAATAATTGGTAGGGCGCTTTGGTTTTTTTTTTTTTTTTTTTCAATGGAAAATAACATGCTTTTATTAACTCTAGATAATGCCATTTTAACAAATTTGACTTGCTTAAAAGTTAGATTGACCCAAACTAGATTACTCAGGATTTCACAAGCTGGGCCCAATCTACTAATAATTGGGTTGCTGTTTACCAAATATAGAATAATGTGGGCTGCCGACCTAGAGATTGGTGGAAGATTTTGAAATGGTTTGAGTCCATAAACATAGGTTTCCTTGAATTATTTGATGTGGTTTATACTTATTGGAATTGGACACAATCACTCAACCATTCATTCCAGCAAGGACCAGGTTTTTTTTTTTTTTTTTTTTTTTATTTGTTCATCAACATAGATTAGGTCCAGTTTAGATATAAAAACATTTTTAATAAATTTTGGAGAGTAGCACTTTCGAACAAGAATCGTTGTGAAAATTTAGTCAGTTTTTAAAATAAAATCTTAAACAAGTTTTCTAGAAATGTTTGAAATATTTTAATGTAAAAGTGCATATTACTTTAGATTCTTAAAAATTATAAATCCTATTAAATCAAAACAACACCCTTTGTTATGTGTATGTGTGGGCTTATAAGTTATGTGGGTTTCAAAATGACATTATTATTTTGGGTTAAGCTTCCTCTTTCAAAATAACGCTGTCGTTTTGTATGTGTCCGAACTAGTATACATTAACCCAATGAACTTCAAAGTTCAATCTCAAGAATTTGATGTTGCAGGCAAAAGAATTTTTAGGAACTTCAAAAATTAATCATCTCGTTAAAAAATTCATGAAGAATTTATGATAAATGGAAAAGAATTTTGTTCAAATAAATCTTAGATGGAAAACACTAGAAACGAAATAATTAAGCCCCAAGGAAAAGGGAACACTAACCCAATGAATTTGAGCTCAAGAATGTGATCTCCTCTCTCGTCCAACTGGA